TCATGCGCTTATCAGCTGGGTTTCTACGCTTGGTTTCTGTCCTTGGCGCTGCGCCGCAAGCACCATTCACCGGAAATCACCAGGACCTATCGAAGCAATATCATTCATCTCCCAAAAGATTCATGCTCAACCACCTATCGAAGAAATCGAACGAAAAGGACTTCGAAGACTCTGCCTCACCAACATTCTGAACCACTAGTGCGCCAGATAATGCTGCGTCCAGACACTCCCTGTCAGAGAGCCAATCTTCAAACAACTCGCATCTGAATGCATCATGAATCAAACTGTTCAGGTAAGTTTCGCCCATTTAGGCATGTATACGTGTGACCTTTTGATTACAGGAAGCATGTACCTTGTGTGAAGTGTTTAGGTGGTTATTTGCACCTGCTAGGGCTTCAGTTGGTTTTAAGATGCTTCAGAGACTCCGCAAAAAAGTCTTTGGGTGACAACGACTAGGGCCTAAAGATTGCTAGCAGTTTGGTGTTCTTGTCAGGGCAACAAATTATCTTGTTGGCGGGATACCTTTTGAGGGTACCGTGTCCAAACTCCAGACATCTTCAAAACTGCGCAAATAAAACCCTCTAAGACCTGGAGACCGAGGTTTCAGATCTTCAATCCGAGCATCTGTTCTTCGAGAGTCAGCTCACCATCTAGGAAGGTCACCGTGTCCGTTCCCCAAGTACCATCCTGCACATCAGAATCTCTTTTTGCACTGCAAACTATTGTTGGATTTTGCCATGAGTGCCATTTATGACCCTGCTTCAAAGTAAGCTGCTAACATTCTGAGCGCCCTGCCTCATACTTGATGCTTTCAAAAAATCCAGGCACCTAGCGCTCAGAAGTGGCCCAATTCTTTGGTGCTCTCTAAAATGCTTCCAGTCTTCCTTCATTTTGAAGCAACTAAATGTCGTTGTTGTTTGCATCCGCTGACCAATTTTCACAAATTCCAACATCTAACTCAAATCTATTCAAATCTGAACCCACATCGTTCCATGTTTTTGTTGATCCTCTTTCAAAAAAGAAACGCTTCACTCAGCCCTCTGCTGCGTCCTCCGCTACACTCAAGACTTGTAGCTCCGCAACACGACGAGCCCGGACCTGCTAGCGCCGGGTCCCTCTGCCCGCTCTGCCCTTCGGATCAACAGATTTTCTTCCTCGGCTTCACAAAACAGGGGATCAAGCACTTCCGAAGATCGCCAGCGTCTCATAGTCCTGCTTATCTGATGATATGTGATTCTGATACCTGATCTTGACATACAGCGAAGATGAGAATGTTATCTTTTTTCCTCTTCAATGATTCGTCTGGACGGCTGCCAGTCTAAAGTGACAGCGTGCAAAAGAAACCCCAGCCCCCCTCCTTGCCACGACCACTATTGCCATCCCCTTCACAAAAGAACGTCAACGTGTTCCTCGGAAAGAGCGCTTCGCTACGAGCGAGGAAAGCGACGACTGTTGGCGACTGAGGCAGCTTGCCATACGTCTTCCATGCTCCCCAAACGCCTGTTGCAGGAAAAAACAAATTGCAATCCGACTCCCCCAAGCAAAAGCTGTTTGCTATCTGCACCTTCCGTGAAAGACTTTGGCCGCTTCTGGTGGCAAATTGATCCTCAAGATGCAAACCCATTTGTTCACGTTTCAAATTGTGTGACCCTTCAGTTGCTTCATATCCTCTGTGACTTGTAACTTTAGCTCGACCTAAGCTAAGGGCATCGTCAAGCCTTCATCGTCGTCATCCTGGGCCAGAAGTCATCTCTCTTTAATTATTCAAGAAGAGTGGAGAATCAAACAAACAAAGATATATAGATCAAATGCCAAGACCCCAGCCTGTGTGACATTCACAGGACCTGTACGTCGCCCTTGCAGTACTTCTTGGCCCGACGCCGATCCGACCTCAGCCCAACGGCACTGTGGTGGTCTGGTGCATTGACGGGGAACGCTTCGACCGAGCTTTGGACTGGGAACCAGACATCTCCAAAATCAGATCATGCTCAAAGAACTCAATCTCAGCACCTTAGGTTCGCTCAAGTCACGTTTTTCTCTTGTAACTTCAATCAGTCAAATGAACTTACGAAGCAGAACTACATACTCAGTACATACTTGTGTTTGGACCAAATTTCACTATCCAGCTCTCCCTCAAAACCAGAAATCAACATTCCAAACATCGTCAATCAAACCAATGGCATGCAGAATGTATAGATCTCTCTTCGTCTCTTCCAAGTCTTCCACCAGAGATGTTGGAGATCTTGTTTGTGATCTTTTCACTGATGCCTCGCTACAAAGCGCTGCAAGGCAACCAGGCAACCCAAAGGCAACTCTGCAAACACCCGAAGCATCATAATTATGATGCCAACAACCCTATCGTCAACCGGTTTTGCAGGGCTCCATTTCCCCGCTTGAGCCACAACCCCCAAGCTCCGGACTCAGAATGAACGCAGCATCGTCATCAGTGATCTTCATGGTGTCAACACCATAGTCCGAGTCCTCATTTTCTGATTTAAATCCAGCTTCCTTCCGTCAGACAACTCTCAGTTTAGCAACATGCATGTCATTTCTCCCCGCCTCATGGCTTTGAAGCTCGGGGTCCGAATCGTCTGCTTGCACACCTGGATCTTCCAGCACATTGCGACACAGCTGAGATTGATGCTCAGTACTTCAACATTCGCTCAGCCTGTTGCCTTTGCAGGAGCTTGTGAGTTCCGCTTCAAACATCCATGGAGGATTGCTCGTGGATGCTGTTTGAAAATATTGTTTCCAAAATTTGCCCAAAGACAAGCCCGTAAACAGAAGCGGACAACCTCAAGTCTGTGTCCCAACAAAGCCAAGCCTGCATTTTGATCTTGTCCTTCCGCATCAGCCTTGGCAAGTGATGGTTTACAGCCAGCTGAGTCAAATTTCTGTGACTTCAAACCTGACGTAGCTAAGTTAGAAGGGGCCTTAGAAAAAGGAAAAGGCTTGATAAAACTCTCAACTTTAAAACCTTATAGTGAAGAAAAACCGCGCCTCATCTCGTACCCGACGCAGCTCTTCGTCCTGCGTCTTGATGATATTCTTCCAATGTTCGAAACTCTGCATTTACGATACTGGTCACTGCTGATCATGTGGCTTGGCTTCATGTTAGGTGCTGAATGGCAATCAATTGAGGAAGTTGGTTTGGTAGGTGCCGCGGCTTTTGAGCAAAACAAACACAACACGAAAAGGCAGAGCCTGGAGGAAGAAAGTGGTGGACAACACTTTGTTCTGGGAGCATTGGATGTGAAGGACGCTTTCCTGCAGGTGCCGCAAGAAGAACCAACTCAAGTCACGACAGCAGGAGGCCATTTTCTTGTCAAACGGAATCTTCCACAACAACGCATTGGAGCAAGGTCTGTCACTGGTGTGTCCTTGTCTATTGGCCATGAAGCATTTCTATTCATTTGTCTCCCAGGTCCGTCACTGCTGGTGCCATGTAGCATTTCTATTCATTTGTCTTTCAGGTCTGTCACTGGTGGTGTCCGCCCTTGTCCGTTGGCCATGAAGCATTTCTATTCATTTGCTTCCCAGGTCCGTTACTGCTGCTGTCCGCCCTTTTCCGTTGGCCATGTAGCATTTCTATTCATTTGTCTCCCAGGCCTGTCACTGCTGGTGTCCGCCCTTTTCGTCCGCCATGTAGCATTTCTATTCATTAGTCTCCCAGGTCTGTCACTGTTGGTGTCCGCCCTTTTCCGCTGGCGATGCAACATTTCTATTCATTTGTTTTCCAGGTCTGTCACCGCTGGTGTCCGCCCTTTTCCGCTGGGCATGCAGCATTTCTATTCATTTGTTTCCTGGGTCTGTCACTGGTGCTGCCGCCCTTTTCCGCTGGCCATGTAGCATTTCTATTCATTTGTCTCCCATGTGATTTCTTTCTTTTTGTCTTTCAGGTTTGGTGCCTGCACTGCTGTTTTCTGCCCTGTCCGCTGGAACAGGTTCGCCTGTGAAAGGTTCTTGCTCCTTTGCAAGGGGTGCGTGACTGTCTCCGGGATTGCATTCCTGCCACACTGTGTAACTCTCTCAGCTTTGTTTTCCTTTTCGGGCAACCGCTGGATGAATGACCGGATTGGATTTCGGCGGCGTGGCAGCGATCTCTCTGTTCAGTTGGGGCGGAGGGCATACGTCAGGCACCAAAAATCAATTTCATGTCACATCCTTCGCTCCTCATGCTTTTGTTTCTTGTCCTCACGTGGTCAGCTCCCCGCTGACTGAACAGCATGACCAGCAGCATGTTCGCGCTTGAAGAATAATTCCCCAAAAGGTTTACTGTTAGGGCTTCTACTCTTTCTTAAGATGTGTCCGCCCGCTCTGTACTGCTGTGTCCGTCTCTGCCTTGCAATCCTTTACATTTGTCTCCCAGCTCTGGACGTCGCAGCCAGTTGCTGATTCTGAGATGCCTGGCGCATCATCTCTGCTACCATTGCAGGAGGTGTGTGCACGAACGAAAAGTTGGCCTGGTTGAAAATCGGCGTGGCGTTCCCACCCGCTCCCCATCCGTCAGCTGACATAGCAGACCCTCCGTCTGGTGTAGACGAGACGCCTGGGTCCATCAGCGGTAGATGAAAAGCGGCGGGGTTTCCACCCACGCTCTCCCGCCCATCCGTACTTCTGTACGGCGCAGCCAGCCTCGCGAGGGCTGTCGGGTCAAGACTCATATCCATGGCTGCGAATGACAAGGGAGCGATACTACGGGCCTATGGCTATACGGCTGATAACCTATGTTTACAGGAAATCAGCCAGCCAACAGCGGTCAACTTTTTCTTGAGCCAAATAGTCGAGGTAGTGAGGTATATGTACATAGTGTACGTGAAACATTACATAAAAACAAAAACAATAGTTATTTTTTTTGGACCATGTATTCTTCAAAAATGTACATTTTAGAAGACGGTATAACAATTCTAGTACTTTTGGTTGAGCTGGTATACTGATATAATACTTTAATTTAACCCCAAAAAACCAACACACACAACCCTCCAAAAGAGACCCTTCGCCTGGCCAGCGCCAAAGCGGAAGACCTCGACGCTGCAGAAAGCTTCAGCCGCGGTGAACATGCTGCTGCCGCCACCCACGGCCATGACTGCCTCGCAGCGGAACCGACGTGGTGACAAACACGCAGTTCCGTGAGGGCATCAGGGCTTGAAAAGGAGAAGACATAAATCAAAACATAGTCACGCCAGGAAAAGTAGAGATGAAACAACTTGAGAACTGAAAGCACTTTTGTGCAAACACAATGTGGTTGCAAAACAACATAACACAAGGACATTGGTTATTTAAAGTGTTTGATCTTGGACTTGGACCTGCACATGTGCTTATCGAGAAATGACACCCTTATTCAATGACATTCTTGTACAGAGTTTCTTTTCTGAAACGGGTGTTTTGCATGAGATCGGACATGTTACATGGGACAGGAAAACAGGTGTAATTCACATATCATGAGGATGCAGGGACTACCAATGGGAGATTTAGAGCAGGACAGTTGCACCATACAACATTTTTCAACATTGCAACTTTCCGTTTTTCTTGAACTGCCCTAACAAAAACATCGTCTGCAAGGATTCAAAATTCCAAGAGCGAACGCAGTGAGATTCACAACTTGTCCACCCCTGCTGTGCCCCACTCGTTCACCCCATCGGCCGAGATTTTTAAGCCCTGCGGCCTCAGCAGATGCGGTCGCGAGGCCTGCACAAGCCTGGGAAGTGCTGCGACTGGACCCGACGTCGCTTTGCACCTTCTCAGAGTGTCGAACACATCACACCTCTGGTTCGGTACTGGATCCGGTAAGAGGCTTACGACAGCATCAGGTGATGTCTGACTTCAACAGCATCAGACTGGTAGGTGCTGGCTGGTCAGGTTCCATAAACGCGTGACCGGGGCTATATTGTGAGTTTGACGCTGGTCTGTGCACCCTGACGACGGATCTGATCTGAAAAGATCCGATCAGTCTGACCTTCACCGAGAATCTTCACACTTTTTCACAGGAATCTTTTGCAAGTTCCCACGCCATATTGAAAAATCCATGTGAGCATTAGGTATACCGACAAACCCTCCAAAAACCAAGCTGAGGACTCTTCAAAACGTGCTTTCTTTTTTTCGCAAAATCCTCCAAAGTTACAACATGTGACAACTATGTTGGGCGGATAATTTGTTTCTAACAACAACCAACAACAACAACGACAACATCCACAGCAAGAAAAATGACAGCCAGGATCACACATGCATGGGTTCGACTACAAAAATGCAAGCTCCTGAGAAAACTGTGCAGTTCTGAAAAAGCTTTAATACGTGGTCTGTGACCTTGTTATAGGGTCCTTGCAAAGCATGCGATTTCAAGACACATAAAGACACTAAAGACACATCGTCGGGAAATCCTAGGGCCTGCAATTCAGGTGGCGTCCAATCAAAAGGCTTCATCTATTCACTGCAGGGTGCCCGCATTTACAAACCGCATGTGCACCCTTCCCCGGCACAAAGAGCCGGACGCGCGCCGTTCCATCGCGCGCCATGCTCCGAGGCTCAGCGATGTGCCCTGCTGTTGAAGTCTTTTAGTTGTTAGTCTGATGGAACATTTACAAACGAAGATAAACGATGAACATCGAAGAATCACAGTTTCCCCTATGAGGAATGCAAGGGAAAAGAAAGACCCTTCGATCTGGAGCTTGCCAATTTTTCATACGAACTTTTTGACCAATGTACCATTTCCGAGGTGTCATTTTTGGTTTTGAAGCTCTTCCCAGGTGTCCACCTTGCATCTTGGCAGGGGTCTCCCCAGAAGGGATCCTTTTTGGGTGGGGAAACCAAGCATCTTTTCTCCAAAGAGAGGTTAAAGGCTTTTGAAGGTTAGCCATGTTAGCCAGTGTCTGGCTATAGGATGATCACTTAGCGTATATTCCAACAACAGTGGCACTCTTTTCACCGAAAGACTCCCAACGTTTCATGCGTCGAGGTCACCCTGGGCCGCTGAAGGGAAGGCCACGCCTGGGTTCCGAAGCAGCTGAGGGGAGGGAGGTCCGGGGCAAAGCATGGCCAAAGCCCGGCCGCGAAAGCAGGTGGACTGGCGAATGGGTTTGCGGATCTGTGCGTATTTTGGGTTTGGAGGGGCCGCCAAAAACTTCGTTCATTGACGTAGTGACACTGTGTCGAGCCTTCCCACTCCAGACTTTCCAACGTCGCCCGGACGAGATCCATGTCCTCTGGGGGTCTGACGTCCTCTTCTCTTGGAACCGGCGAAGTGGACGACATGGGACCGGTCGACACGTAGTGGACGACGGAGTGCAGGACCCCATGCAGTGCTGAGAAAAGGACCTCCCAGCCCGACCCGACAGCCCAAACCATTGAAGCAGCCTGATAGCCATCGGCGATCGTCGATCGGACTTAGCGCGCTGTCAAGCCTACATGTCTGAAATCATGCTCAGCATCGTCCTGAAGAAATCCACGGATTGGGAACCCCTTCTGCTCTTCTTGGATTTGCGTTTTTGGGGGAACCTAGACAAAAATGGCAAGAACCACATCCTCCCTCCGGGGCAGGGGCTGTCAGACCCAGGTTCGGCGAACATAGAAACACATCACCGGTCTCCAAACCGCATGGATTCCGACTCCACTAGGATTCCACTGTGATGAGTGTGCAGTGGGGCGCACCTAACGTTAGGTTCATCGCCCTCCACCTCGGTCGAACGGGATCGCCTGGACGACGGGATCGCCGCTCAGGAGCTTCGACACCTCGATGGCCTCGGCAGAGAACAAGAGCAGCGGAAAAAGCACCATGTGAAGAAATGCAGCAGAGTTACAATATTGATATATGTATTGTATATGTTATAGTTCTTAATTTATTAACTATAATGTACTGTAACGTTACAAACGAACTATTGATATGTTATAGAGACATACGCGTTTATCTATCTCACTATCGATGGCTTTGTAATCCACACCCAGCAAAATGGCCGGCTCTTTCTTCGGCTTTCAATCGTTACAAACTGAAAGGAGGACGGCCCGGACAGTTCTTCCATCAATTCTGTGGCTGATTACTTACCGCCCACTTAAGGATTATCCATTCATCTAACCATGGTTCAATGGGCATCATGGGCAAAGAAGACTGATTGGATGGGGAGCTCTTCACATCAGATTTGGGAAGCTCTTTTGAACGGAAAGCAGCTCCAATGATCAATGGTTTCCCTTTTCAATACACTTGCAATCTCCTTGTGGTTCAATTCAGGTCAAGAGGGTCCCCCATGTCCAAACAGATCCATCCTTTTCTGACCTGTTCTCACCTGGTCCAACGAACAAACCCATGCTTTTCCCACAGCGATGTGCTCTCCCCTCCCCCCGCAAAAAATACTTAACGAACTGTTTCTTCACCCTAGTGATGTCCTGCCAGCTCATCACCCCGCTCTCCGTTCTCTCCGCTCTCCTCTCCGCGCCTCGCACTGCGCCAGCGGGACCTCCTCCGAGAAGTCGAAGCCACCGCAGAGCACCAGCGAGCTGCCGGCGCCTGGCGACGGCTCGGTGGGTCGGTGTCTGGTCCGTGACCTCGCCGGGAACTGATGACGAGTGTGGTCGACGTCGTCTTGGTGACAAGGTCGGTTTCCTGTCTTCAGGGAAGATCAGGGAAGAAGAAGCTTAGCTTAAGGCTTTGCTACCTCCGCTACCTCCCAACTAGATGGAGACTTCACCATCAGGAAGGACAGACCAAAAACATCAGCGTCTCGTCGGCTGTGTGTAAAACGAAACGTCTATAGACGATGTCTTCGGCACTAAACTAAACATCAGCGTTAAAACCCAGGCACCATCAACGAGGTTTGGTGAGTGAACACCAGCAACGTCGACGTCTGTGGATGGCAACAGGTTACGAATGAAAAGAAGAGAAACACAAAGGCACCATATATGGCTTTCCAAAAACAGCAAAGCAAGTGACGGGCAAGCAGGTGGTGCATACAAGCTTACTACTTAAGCTTACTCTGAAAACAAAGTTTACTAAGCTTACCAAGCTTAAGTAGTAATAAGCTTACCTCGCTTATCTACATACCTAAGCGTACCTCGCTAAGCAAAGAAAAAGTGGTCGAGCGATCCCTTGGGTGCCCTCTTTCACTGAGACTTCATCCGAAGACGACCACCCTAGCTGGGAAAAGTAACCGTTCTGGCCACGTCTATAGCGTCGGTATTTGTTGGTTGTTTTTCCCATGTTTGAACTGGCAGAACTTAACTTTTCAGAACTTCCGCCCCAAACTGTGTGAGCTGTGAACCTGTTTGATGCTCGGATATATTGCCAATTGCGCCCAAGCAGGATTGAGCTGTGGGGAAATTCCAGGAGAATTGCTTGTCGGCGGAAGGAGATTATACAAATAAATATGGTTATCGAGAGACATGAGACCAAATTGCGAGTACCAGAAGCAGTAGGTGACAATAGGTGACTGTCTCCGTCTGTGGCGTTCCTGTTTATGCTTCTTCCCTTCATACTGCAGAACACCCATGGTGTTGGATCTTATTCAACATCCCTAAGTTTTAGCAGAACACCCATCAGGGTCACCTGCTAATCCCCAACACAAGATCAATCTCCCAGGACTGAGAACACCGTTTGTCTGACCCCCGACGTGATACGTCTTTGACATGTGATACGTGGTGATCCAAAAGCAATCTGGAAGTACAAGTTTGGACATGTGTTTACAGACCCCCAAAGAGATAGAATGGTCCATTTGCACACTAAACATGTATTGGAAACCGTGCGCAGTGCGTTTCTATCTATTTAGGGGACCACTACTCATAAATAATGATGCGGTGGCTTTTGACGGAACCGCCCCGTTTTGAGACCTCAGAGGGCGAGGCACGTGATAGAACAGGTGATGACCTCTGGTTTCATATTGCAAAGGCCAGTAAAAACATAATAGTTCATCATATTACTGTTTTCTTTTTATAGTGGTCTACAAATAGATAGATTCATATAGAAACGGTTCTCCAATACATTTTTAGTGGGGATCTACTTGTCTATCTATTTTGGGGATCTATATACCAAAATGGGACAAATGCCTCATCACACTCCACCCTGTCCTGCTACTTCAAGGGTTGTTACGGGGCCATCTGACAAGGATAGTGGAAGCGGTGAAGACCAAACTCTAGACAACATGCAATGAACAGGACGCCAAGTAAAATTTGTTTGCTAAAGAAAACATATAAGCATTATGTATGTAATACTATGCATACCACGCATAACATATAGCCTTCATGATCTGTTCTTTCACCTTCTTCCTAATGATCAAATTTTACGACGAGGTCATTGACTTGGAGGCTCTTGGAGGGTATTCCTTCAGGAACAGAGTGGTTTCCCCTTCGATGTGATGCGGTGCTCCGATTGTATATTTTGTTGAGCCAACGACAGCACCAAAACCAGTCACATCTATCACCCAAGTCTTGCACTGTCACCCGCAGGCACAGCCTGCGGCGCCACCGGCAGCACAAATTCCGACGGCACAACGCCCTCGGTTTGGTGCCGTTGCTGTTCTTCAAAACGTGCGGATTGATTAGAGTGCAACCAACGTGTTTGGTGCAAGCAACCTTTTTGTCTATGTGAGAACATTCTACTCACAACATCTGCAAGAGCGGGTACTTGTTTCTCTTGACCGAGCCTATTTAGGCAAAATGTTCCTCTCCACAAACAGAATGGACCTGGAACTGGCGCCGGCAACTGGAAACCCAGTCTTCCTTTTTTGAGGAACATCTTCTTGGATGGTCGGAGTGCTACCAGCTACTCTTCCTGTCTCCAGCCCTCTTCTTGGCTCCCGCTGGGCCGTCCAGGCGTGCGAGCGGCAGGCGGTTGAAGCTTCGCCAGGAGAGCTGCGCGGCAGGCGGTCGCCGAGCAAACGGATGGGATGGGCGACATGGTGGCACGTTGCCCAGCGCCCACGCTGAGGGGGGCGCGTTCTTTTCTTTTGGGTTTCTGAACATAGAAGACTCCCTGTCATAGAGTCAAATCGTCTCCCAAAAAGGAATGCAGAAATCCGACCGGGTCTACGGACCGTCTCCTTCCTTCGCATTCATGGAGCACCCATTTCTTGGGGGGAAAATATGGTCCATCTCAGTCCGACCGAGGAGCACCATCTCTGGAAGGGTCGACGTGGACCTGGAAGCCGCCACCGGGCGAGAAGCCACAAAAGAAAAAACCTGTATATACCAGGAGTCACATGACATGGAGTTGGGTGGTATTTTTGTTGTATACCAGGAGTCACATGGAGTTGGGTGGTGTGGCTGGTCCCATCCAGTGAGTGGTCCTCCATGGATAGCACCCCGACTTCCTCCATGGATAGCACCCCGTCTTGTGACTGCTAGTTTTATAGGTTATATGCGTGATATGAATGGATTTTCACCCAGCGATTGGGGCAGTCAAGACTGGAATTGGATTAGCCACATTTAGCCACATACATGCAGCTTGTGCCTGGCTTTTCAACCGGGTAAAACGGTTGCATTCTCGAACACGACGCGTTTCATTCCTCATTCCATTCCCATCACGTCGGGTGCTACTTGCGCCGTGCCGCACCATGAGTTCATCGACCACCTTTGGCCCGGTGAGATCAATGAGACGGAACATCTCTCACCGATGAGATGTTCCGTGGAGCCTGAGGTGGAAAGCTTCTTCCCTCAACTGGACCGTCATTCTGATATGTTTTTTTGTTTCCGTGCCCCCAATTGGGTCGTAAGGATCCCCAAATGACCAGCGACGACAGCCACGGTAGCCACGGTCACTCGCTTTTTGCGTTTCTTCGCATTGGCTCACTCAATGGAGCTCCGTTCTCCACGTCTCTCCGCGCGTGAAAAGGGTTTCGCGCGTCTCTCCGCGTGGGGACCATCGGCCGTGTCAAGCCACTGGGAGTTTGTAGATTGTGCAGGAGGGTATATAAAACAGGTGAACATCAAGGCTGATGTTCGTGGGGTTGAAGAACCTTTTCAACTCTATCCAGATCCAGGTATGACCAAACAGCTGAAAACAAAAAAACAAGTTGCCCATGATTCTTCAAGTTCTTCTTCAACTTCTTGGGCACGTCTTGTGACCGTTTTCAAAGGGTGCGATGCGTGGCGTAGCTCCGCCGCGCAGGCACGGTCCGAACCCTCCGGTGGGGCGGCACCCCCGCGCGGATGTTCAGCTGACTCCAAAGGCCTCCAGCAGCGCCGGTTGGGATGTGGCGAGACGGACCTGTGGGAGGTCTGGGATGGTCTATAGGGACCACCTGTCTATAGGGACCGTTCTGTCTGTCTGTGTTTTTTTCAAACAGGAGGGTGACCTGCCAGCTTGCTGATGTCAGCAAGCTCCTGTGGGGGCGTTCTGGAGAGCTGCCTGAGCGGAACCTTGGGTGCCTGTTGGACACTGCCTGTTCTGACTGCCCGTTCTCGAGAGGTTTGGGTTCCGCATCGGTCTTCGCTACTTCCCCAAACAGAAAGGACGCTCGGAGTTGTCTCCCCCGAGTCAAACCCCCAAGGGCGAGTAAGGTGCCAGCTTGAAATGAACACATGCAGGACAGTGTGACTTCTTACGCGGTGACATCAATCTTTTCCCAGAGATCTGTCTACAATCCATCGACAGCATCGCTGCTTTTGGAGCTGCACTTGGATCACAAGTCCTAGGTAAATCTAAGTATTCAACACTGCTGACCCTCCTCCCTCCTCTGACACCTGGCCCTTTTTTTGGATCCTACATGCCGCAAATGCCGGTCCTGTACTGTCTTGCTACTTGAAGTGGTTTGGAACCTCATGATTGCCATAGAACACAATGTTTGATACATTCTTATACCTTGCCAAGCTACTACAAGTACAGCGCCGCAGAAAAATCCCTGGCAGCATCGCAATACTTCACCCTGCCTGCCAAGTTGAAGGCCTCTTTTCATCTCTTTTCCTTGAACCCTCTCGTTGAATCTGTTCGCTGGGCTTCTTTGGGCGGCGACGGGCAAGACCCGTCCACCCCAACCGTGCTCGACATGTCGAACGTTCAAGGTCGTCGACCGAACAGACAGACGAGGCAACCTGGGTCCAACTGAACAAGACTGGGGAGCTCCACGGTCACCTCCAATGGACTTATACATGGCACACCTCCACAGCCACTACCTCTCCTCCACCTCTCACCTTGGCACGTCGGCTCGGGCGGTGCACCTGTGCTCAAGAGGTTGGTGACTAACTCCTCCGGCAGAACCCGATCGTCCTTCAACGGGATGATCCGCAGCACATCCTGCCGCCGCGCGGCTCGTCCGCCGCGGCGGCGTGGGCTGGAGGCACCGAAAGGCGTCTCGAAGCGAGGGTGTGTGAGGGGGGTTCTGGGGTGATCTGAGGGGTGATCTGAGGGGTGTCCAAAGCTTTCCCCACAAAAAAATGCCCCACATCATGTCCTGAATGGGGTTGAAGAAGTAACATGACGTAACCAATTTTAAGCATCAAACAGACCTGGGCGAACAAACCTGGGCCTGGAAGAAGACATCAAGCTTAAGCATCAAACATGGAAGACATCAACACACCTGCGCCAACAAACTCCTCCAGTCCAGGGGCCTTTGAGACGATCCTTTTTCAGGGATCTTCAGGGGTCATCCGTCAGAAATCGGTTCTCAAAGACATCTACCAAGACCAGCTGACCAGACCTGGGTAGAGATCGATCGTAGTGTGGGCTGACTAGTGCCATGGTCCCTCTACACTGGTCGGATGGTCCAGGTAGGATTGGCTTTAGCCAGTGGAACTTAGTTTTGTTTCACTCCACCAGTGCGTACCAAGACGGCAGGAGAGCAGTGCAACTTTCTGGAGGGTTGAGCCTGTAACGGTCATTTGAAGGGATGAGATTGATACTGTTGCGTTGCGATGTCCTCATTTACTTTCTCTTTCCCTCGAATCACCCCTCAGCGTAAGAGTCACCAAGTCGCCGTCTTCATGAAGCGCTGCAAGGAATCGAAATGACAACGCCAAATCCTACACCATACTGTTCCATCTGCCTATCTGGGACATGGAAGATCAAGCCTCATCATGCCTCATCATGCCTCAACCAACCGCGGGATAAATACTCCGCAGTGGCCGAGAATGGGTCCTCTTCATGAAGCAATGATTGTTCCCAAATCGGCACCAAAAATAATGCAGACGTAGACCATTGATGATATTCGAGCCCCGGATGAAAGGGTCATAAAAACCAACTGGCGGGGTTATTAATCAAGAGATATCAAAGTCTCTACCTTAGGGTCCCGGTTCAGGATGCTTCAGGCTCCTCTACGTACACTTGCCGGGCACGACATCTTCCGTTACCGGGCCATTCTCGCCTGCCCAACCACACGCCTCTCGCGCCTCTCGCGCCTCTCGCGCGTCGCCTCGCGCGTCGCCCCTGCGCGGTGGCGTCACTCCTCTGCGAAGGCCACTTGTGGATCGGGATCATCCGAAGGGTGGGTCCATTGCGCCCGCAAGCAGCTGATGCATTGCTTGCCTGAAGTAACCGAACGAGGCGTTCTGAGGCGAGGGCAAGAGGCGAGGGCACGGAGCTGGCAGAACGAGGCAAGCGAAGTGAAAATCGAGACCAAAAACAGTGGTGACTCACCTTCCTTCAAGAATATTTCAACCCCCAATTGGATAGAAAATGTAAAATCATGTAAAGTCTTTTTCGAAATCTATTGGACAAACCAATTTTTTTGGGGGACCACCATGGGACCTCTATTTCAACATGAGCTTTCACCGTCTCTTCAGCCAACTCCGGGCACACGCCGTGCGCCGAAACGCGTCGCGTCGCGTCGCGCGTCGGACGTCGCCTTTGTGGGGACCACAAAGCTTCTGATGGGTGTTGCCTCAGTCGTCTGTAAAACGGATCAGGTGACGGATCAGGTGTCGTGTCCGACTTCTAGGCAAGCCCACAAAAAAACACCTAAAAACAGTAGACCGGAGTTTTCTCTCTCTCTCTCTCTCAGCAAGGTGAGCCTGTTGTTTTTATAAAAACTGGTCATCTGCTCTGACAATTCGGAGGTCCGGTTGCGATCAGACCGTTGCCGTTGAAAGGACTTCTGCACTGGATTTTCCCCACTTCTGGTCTTGTGGCCCTGCTTCAAGTCTCTGTTTCGAGTACCTGAAAGTGTCAAACAGCACTGAGTCCTCGTTTTTCTGCACTGAGTCCTCGGTCATGCGTCAAGTCACCAAAAACGTTCATTCATTTCTTCTGATACTTGGCAGTTGGAAAGGCCCATCCCATAGTAAGCTTTAAAGTTTCTTTAAGTCGTGTAACTAAGTGGTCAAAGTGACCCGGCTTGCACTCCCATGCTAAGGCACCGCCACAGCCGCAAACGTAACACCAGCGATAGTCGTCGTCGTCCTCCATCATGTCATCACCTCGGGATGAGGGACTCATCGCCCTGCCCCAAAGCAGGACTTGTCGCCCTGCTTCTCGACGAGGTTGTTTGGACTGTCCGTCGCATGGGACTTGGCAAACCCACTGACATCGTTTGATTGTATACCTGGGTCTTCATACGTATGCATTTTTTCCGCCTTTTCAATCAAAACTGCTTTTTCAAGCAAACGCCCACTATTTTGTACCGAAGCACTTGTTGCATTGACGTGTTTTCGATGGTATGTCAATCAAGGTTTTGAAACGGCGACTTTTCCCGACCAAACGGCGACGTTCCCCGACCAAACGGCGACTTTTGCCAACTGCTAGTTTGGTAACCTCTGTAAAACCTCGAAACGGCACCTTTGAAATGAAACGGCGTTTTTGACGGCAAACGACTGAAATTTGTGCTGTTTCGCCAAACGGCAGAAACAACACCCGTGGAAGGTCCAGGTATACTGCAGGGATTTGTCCTGTAGGTCCTAGAACAAAGAGGTGCAAAGAGGAA